AAATCACAGCTCCCGGTAAGTTGATATGGTTGATCACGTTTCCATGCTTGGATCTTTGGTGAGTCCATATCATCTTGTGTATCTTTTTTTGACGAAAGAATATGTTACAGATAAGCAAGTCGAGCTCAACAAAGATGATGTAGGTTCAGACCATTGTTATTGACCTTACCAATTCCGTGACCAAGTGCATTCCATGCCCGTGCTCTCTACCCACTCGAGACTTGAGATCCCCAAGTAAAATTAGCTTTTCTTCTTTTAGAATGCTAATTATGTTCTCTCGAAGAGCTCCATACAACTCCGTAATTTCTTCATCAGAAGCTTGAAGTTTGGGAGCATACACAGAAAGGATGGACATATAACGTCCACAAGAAAGTAGGATACGCATCTTCATGATACGAACATTGATACTGGAAGGACAGTAAGAGAAGGACAGGTAAAAAATCCAACTCCTTCCTCTCTTTTCTCACCTTTCGGTTTTCCTATCAGGAAGATAATGTGTCCTGATTTCACCTCCATTAAGTGATCCTTATAAGAGAAGCGAATTTCCGAGAGTGCTGCAATATTAATGTTAAGTCGACAGAATTCATTTGTCACCAGAGCTGTTTTCCGTTCTGGTCTGCCAGATTTTTCAAGATCAAGCAGCGTTCCAACGTTCCAATATCCAATATTCAGTGATATGCGCTCCTTGGCATATCGTGTGGTATTTATATCTCTCTTGTTCCTGCTATAATGAACAGCCGCCAGTTTCAGGTGATGACAAGCAATTTTTGATGCACCTTTTCTAGCATCCTCCCGATAACCCGGGGTGAGCCTTGCTCTCCCTGAACAGGGCTGCTCAGACGCGGGAACTTCCACCGAGATTTGCCTTTTGCCATCCGTCAGGCAAGATATCGATGTTAGATAAAACTCCTGCCACATTTATGCAGATTCATGACTACAGGCCTTCAACTTGTCAAGTCTTCCTACGTCGCCATTTTTCCATCACCAAAGGAATTTAACAAAAGACTCGATAACATATGAGTTAATATATATTTGTACATCAGTCGACTATAGTGATGTAGCCTTGTACACCACCTACGCCAATCTCTGAACATTAGTGACTAGCTTCTGGTAGCCACTTCGATCGCAGATTTTTCCGAGTGTCACTCTCACAAAAAGCAATGACTTGTCGAAAGAGGCTTTCAGGTACATAGGTCACGCCACCACTAGCCGCCAGATACTGGACAGACGCATCATGGATTTACACAAAGGCAAAATTTGCCCATAGCAGAACCCCTAACAGGTACTACCATCCCGGGTCATGGTGGACCTAGGAACAACAGCAATTAAAATACGGTTCCACGATCCTTGTAACCTCCAATCTCTCGATCAGAAGAGTTGTTGCTGGATGTATTTTATCATCATACCCAGGACAAATATATGCATATATACACACACACATATATATACATGCATATATGCATATATATACATGCATATATATATATATATATATGCATGTATATATAGGGTTTTGATACTTGGTGGTGGATGCGCAATTATAGGACTAAACGGCCGTCCAGTGCTTCCTCTATTCCTGTTAAGGTTTCTATCAGATCTCAATGAATTAATTAAATATATTTATCAAATCCTCCTACTAATTACTATATATATATGTGTGTGTGCATATATATATATATATATATATATATATAAATGTATTTATCCATATATATATATATATATGTGTGTGTGTGTGTGTGTGTGTGTGTGCGTCCGTGCGTGTTGAGGGGTCCACCCCTTTTTATACAAATGGACTCACCCAGTATATACATATAATACGGCTACGTGAAGACCAGAGAGCAAGACCGAAGAATCGAGTAGAGAGTGACAGAGTAAAAGGTTGTAGGTAACCGGAAGAGTGAGGGTGAGGTAACAGTGTTGTAGGAGTCACAGTGAGCGAGCACATAGACTCAGTAAGAAGTCATACTAACCCGTATTCCTGGAACTACTAACCTGCTTTACCAGTTTGTTTTATTACGTTAATACATTATTTTCATATATTCATTCCTGGAGTTTGTTATTTATTGGTACCGGATTTCAACCCGGAATCCACAACAACTTGGCGACGAGGATATCGAACTCACACGGTTAGCACAAACAACAATATCCTCCCTCATCGACAACAACTTGGCGACGAGGATACCAAACCCACACGGGAAGAACAAAAAAGACAAAATTCTCCCTCATCAACTTGGCGACTAGGACTTCGAACTCATACAGAAGAAACAAATTATCTCTCGTCGACCACAACAACTTTGGAGACGAGGAAATTCGAACTCACACAGGAAGAGTAGAAAGAAAAATTCTCCCTTGCCGACCACAACGACTTGGTGACGAGGAATTGGGACCTACACGGAAAGAAAAAAATTCTCTCTTCTCACCACAACAGCTTGGGCCACAAAAATTTGCATTTCTCGGAGACTCAAAAAGACAAAATTGCTGTTTTTCCAGTATCCACAACAACTGGGTAACAAAGTGTTACGAAGATTAAAATACGGAAAATTGATCTTTTTCGTAAGACTCTTACAATGGAGGATATTAAATGTATTTTAGTAGAACTTGTAAAATACCAAAATGAACAGCAATTACAATTCCAAGAAAGAATGGAAAAATATTACTACAAACGCAGAAGGAAAATCAGGAAAGTTAAATGCAAAATGAAGAAAGACAAATGCAACTTCAGGAGCTAATTGTAAAAGTAATACACAACAACAAAATATTGAAAAAGAGGCGACTTTTTCTCAAGACGCAGTCTGGAACACGATAGTAACATTCAAATATTCCCTAGAAGAGGATAAAAATTTCGGGGACTTTTTCAGACGTCATGAAAACATCTTCAACATCGATTGTCAAAACTGGACGGAAGCAAAAAAGCTACGACTATTACTCAAGAAATTAGGAACGGAAGAATACACAAAATTCGTGGATTACATTTTTGCCAAAGAAGACAAATGATTTAACGTTTGATGAAGAAGTTACATGCCTGACGGAGCTTTTCAGCCCGAAGACGTCACTCTTTCACAAAAGGTGGAAATGTCTTAACCTCGTAAAGGATGAAAATAAGGACTATTCTACGTTCGCCGCAGTCGTGAATAAACATTGCTATGATTTCAAGTTGGCAGAATTAACTACAGACAATTTCAAGTGTCTTATTTTTGTACAAGGGTTAGTCTCAGCAAAAGATAGTGAAATGCGCAAAAGAATGCTTTCAAAACTGCAAAATGAATTTGGATTAACACTACAAAAACTATCGGAAGACAGCCAAAAATGTCTAAGTATAAAGAAAGACTCGAAGGATATTGACGAATTAGGAGTATCACATATACGTAAGTTAAACAAAAGTTTACGTTTTTCACCCTCCCCGGAAAGAAAACGAAAATTCTATAATAATGAAAAAAGTACAACGTACAGGGCAAATAATGACAAAAATCAAAGTAAATATAAGCTCCACCCATCTGCATGTTATCGATGTGGAGGACTACACTGGAATAAGGATTGTCGTTTAAAATATAAAAACTGTCTTGCGTGTGAAAAAATGGGTCCTAAGGCATCCCAATGTAGGAACAGAAAATTTACTAGTAGGATAAGAGCTACTAGAATGCATGACGAAGTCAATACTAACATAAGGAAATATGTGGAACTTGAAATCTTAAATAAAAAGATAAAATTTGAACTACATTCAGGGTCAGATCTGACGATAATTAACCTACAGACATGGAGAAAGCTTAATAGACCAACCATGTTACATACACAAAAAATTGCTAGGTCTCTTACAGGAAAGCGTATAAAATTCGAAGGATAAGTAATCTTAAATGTAAAATTTCACGGGAAAACAAGAAAACTCAAAATATTCGTAATGAAAGATACAGAAAATCTGGTGGTCACGGACTGGATGCAGAAGTTCGACGTATCGGATTTACCTATCAGTTCGTTTTGTAAAAGATAAAGTGCGAAACATCAGAAGTTATGAAACCAAAGGAAGAATTACATAACCAATTTCAAGAAGTATTTTTGAGCGGGTTGGGTCGGTGTAACGAAATTACAGCTAGAATTGAATTAAAAGAAAACGTCCAACCAGTATTTAAAAAGAAGCTCAACGTGCCGGTGACTACCTTAGAGAAAGTCGATAAAGAATTAAAGAGAGCTTTGAAAAAAAATAATTAACAGACTAGAAAACGTGATGTACCCAGTACAAGGCGAAAAGTTTACACACTGAAGACATATTGACTAAATACAAAAAAAGACAGGTTGAAGAGCCAAGCTCGTCAACCGCTGAAAATGACGATTCAATGGATGAAATCTTTGAAGCTTTTGAGATTCAAAGACCAGAGGAAGACCCTGAAACTAGATGGTCAAACAGGAAGAGAAAATTTACCGAACTTCTGATTATCGACCATAAGAGAAAAATACTAACTACCCCCCAAAAGAGATCTAAGAAGGGGGATGTTGAGGGGCCCACCCCTTCTTATACAAATGGACTTACCCAGTATATACATATACTACGGCTACGTGAAGACCAGAGAGCAAGACCGAAGAGTCGAGTCCAGAGTGACAGAGTAAAAGGTTGTAGGTAACCGGAAGAGTGAGGGGTGAGGTAACAGCGTTGTAGGAGTCACAGTGAGCGAGCACGTAGACTCAGTAAGAAGTCATACAGTGATATTTCAATACCAAAGACTGTTTAGATATTTTGCTACTAACCCGTATTCCAGGAACTACTAACCTGCTTTATCAGTTTGTATTATTACGTTAATACATTTTTTTCATATATTCATTCCTGGAGTTTGCTATTTATTGGTACCGGATTTCCACCGGAATCCACAACAATAATATATAATGTATGTATATATATATATATATATATATATATATATATATATATATATATATATATATATATATATATATATAAATACATACATATAAATGTGGTCGGGAAGTTTGTATACTTGGGGAGCACGCTAAGCATGAATGGAACCCTTGATGGCGAGGTGTGCTTGCGAATAAGTAAAGCGAGAGACGCGTTTGAAAAACCGGAGAAACGGCTTTGGAGGCGCCGTGGTAATCTCTTTAGAACCAAAGGTAAAAAGTTTATTATGCATGTGTGCTATCTGCTCTTATGTATTCCTGTGAAACTTAGACCACATACAGAAAGTACATAAAGCGTCTTGAACGCTTCCACTAAAAATGCCTCAGGAGAATCCTTGGTGTTCGTTGTGCGTTAGTGACGTTGAGGTATTACAACTAGCTCGGAGTCAAAGCATAGAATCGATCATTTTTCAGCGTCAATTAAGATGGAGCTGGCATTTAGTCATGTATGGAGGTAAGCGACCTGATCAGAAACCTAAAATGAGGTACAAGGATTGTTTGAAAACATCTTTAAGGAAGTATGGTATTGATGTTCTGACCTTGGAGAGCAGGGCATTGGATCGGGGAAAATGAACCAGAGAGGTCCATGCAGGAAAGAGTTCGTATGAGAAAGAACGTGTTGAAAATGTAAAGCTGAAAAGAGATATCCGGAAGGGGTACGTAAATGAAGCGAAAGTCGAAATTGGTAATCAGGTTGGTTTGCAAATGTGTTATATGTGACCGAGTTTGTTTAACCCTAGCTGGTCTGAAAAAGTAGGTGAGAATGAATCAATGCCACCTGAGAGCGGATGGCGCGTTACTTCATAATACAACGTGTAATGCACGGGGAAAAGTGTGCAAAAGAGCAGCAGGATTAAAAAGACATGTAAAAATACACGGCAATTACGATGAGGAACTGCTGCTCTGCTGCTAGAGATGTCCATGCCTGCCACTCCTAGGCCAAAGTAAATATGTTTATAGCAGGATTTTAAATCGACATGAGAGCAGATCATCAATGAGATCTCTTATGGGTATTCAAGCAATGGAAAAAGCTCAAATACGAGTACTTAGATGCATATACACATATTTCTATATGTACACACAGACACACATATATATAAATATATATATATATATATGTAGGCACTCATATTTATACATACACAATTATATATATATATATATATATATATATATATATATATATATATATATATATATATATATATAAGCACATATATTTCCTATATATACATATTTATATATATATATATATATATATATATATATATATATATATTTTATATGATAAATTTGTCTGCATTAACATGTAGAAATAGAAAATATTTATAAATATAAAAGACAATGGGAAAACTGTAACTCCACATCAGGCGAAAGGCGTCAGCAACTATTACAGTTTTCCTATTGTCTTTTATATATATATATATATATATATATATATATATATATATATATATATATATTATATTTATACACATACACACACATATGACACACACACACACACACACACACATATATATATATATATATATATATATATATATATAGATATAGATAGATAGATAGATAGATATATTCGAGTATAGGATTAGTGTATATGTAATAAATTCCAATAACCAAAAACTACTATTCCTAAAAGAGTGCTCAATACAGAGTAGAGCAAGTATAATTTATTCGAAAATTATAAATATGAACATAAATAAAATAAAGTGTTGATAAAACACCATCACATAATAAGACACCAGAAGTGTTGAAACAAAATAGCTATTTTTGTAGTGATTCTATAACATATTTAAGATATAATTTTCGAACAAATCATATATATATATATATATATATATATATATATATATATATATATATAATAATAATAAGCAATAAAATTCAAAATCACCTCATATAGTGAATAGCCTATTTCGTGTGACGGAGATATCGTGGTCTCTCTTATCAACCCCGGTGTGGACTGAATCCGTGTGAGAAACAGAAATTTAACTGTGAAAGCTAAAACAAACGGAACAAAAAAAAACATTAAAAAACTAATACAGAATTTATGCATTTTGGATGTTATTGTATACTAATTATTTGCTGTGTAATAAATATATTGAGCCCTTTTTTATTTATTTTATATTCCTAGTATCCACTTAGATTATATACCATATGTATATATGCGTGCGTGTGCGAATGAATAAATGAAGTAAAATTCCACTACTCGGAGCATTTAATTAAAAAAAAATGTCCTCAGTCCGAAGCAGAATAATGTATTATTCTTTTTTTATATTATAATAAAAACATGTTGAAATCTCTGCACAATATCTTTCGTGTTTCGGCACTGAGTTGTGGATCTTCGTGTGATGCTATGATACTGGTGATTAAATAATGAAGAAAATTTGTTACGTCCTGTGTCGAAAGATAAAGTGAGTTGATGAAAGACAAGGTCAGGATTAAAAATAGTTTTGAAGGTTTACCTTAATCAACCAATCAAGTGTGAGATCAACGCTAAATAGAAAATTAAGCTCAGAAGCTGGAGGTGGGAGAGATGTTTTTCATGACATGATAAACCAGAACTTAGGACACCCTTGAAATTTATAGAAATTGCAGATAAAGATGACGACATGTTCATTTTTTTAAAAGACGATGGGTTGAGTGGGAGGAGTATAATCAAACATAAAGATAATAACAAATGACTTTTTTTGCATTCTAGATTCAGGAAGCTTCAGAAAAGAGCCTGTAGATAAAATAAAAACGTGGGACATCTATATACGATATAACAAAATATGATAATTACGCGCAAACAGTAGACTGTAATTTACTTATTAATTCTGTCCACAAAAAATGGTAAGTCCTACTTTTGAAAATATAACATGTATATACATATATCCTCTCTGCTCATGTCGCGGTCGAAAACCATCTGCTTCTCTTACTTCAGGCCTTCTCATCTTCCAACAATTACTCCACATGAAGACTCAAATGAACCAAAAAAGTAAACCTAAACCAGCCCCGCAAAAATCAGCTAAACCCCTCAACATTTCGTTCTCTAACATCCGTGGCATTAGAACAAATTTCTGCAGTATGGAATCTTTCCTCACTGCAAACTGCCCGGATATACTGGCTCTGTGTGAGACAAACCTTGTCTCGTCTATTCCCTCCTGTGATCTCTCGATCCCCGGCTACCTTCCTCTCCTCAGGAAAGACCCACATGCACGGCCTTGGTGTCTATGTCAAGGACCATCTCCCTCTGGCCAGAGAGTTGTCTCTCGAATCGCCAGACCTTTCGTACATGTGTCTCCGACTATCTCTTCTCAATGCCGTAAGCTATCTCTTCTTCCTCTATCGCTCTCCATCCTCTCAAGTCTGTGGGATACTCGATAGCATATCTGACAGCATAGACAAGACCCTCTCTCTCCTCCCGTTTGCTCACATATTCGTGTTTGGTGACTTTAACGCCCATCATACCAAGTGGCTCAAGAATGCTACTACTGACCGGACTGGCATTCAAACACTTAACTTCTCAATTTCTCAATCCCTCACGCAGATAGTTAACTTCCACACGCGTTTTGCCCTCAATCTGGTAGGTAAGGCCTCACTTCTCGATCTGTGTTTTACCTCCATCCCCGAATCTTGTAGCGCACGCAGCTCTGCCCTCTTGGTAACTCCGATCATGCTGTAGTATCTGTTAACATTTCTTTCAACTCCACACCCCGCAAAGAACCTATCAATAGAACCTCGTTCTACTATCAACGAGCAGATTGGGACTCGTTCCATGACTTCCTCCGCGATGTCCCCTGGGATGTTGTCATTACAATCCCTGTCCAAGAATGTGCTTCTGAGGTCTCATCCTGGGTTAAAGCTGGAATCGACGCTTTCATCCACTCAAGGAAATTTAAGTCGCACTCCTCCCCTTGATTTTCCGCTGCTTGCTCAGTCGCCATTGGCCATAGGAACGTCTACTGGAGGGTCTGCGGCTTACCCTTTTTTCTATTTATCTACTCTTGTGGAACTATTTATTGACACCCACCTCTATCGATTTTAATTAATATAATTAAAATTTGTCTTTTAGTCGAGTTCCACCTTTCCCTCCTCAGTCGATTTATTGTCTTTGTATTCATTTATATTAAATATTGCCAACGAATATCTTTGACAAAGCGTTGGCCGAAAGGTGCCTTTAGATATGACGTCCACTTTGTTTAAAGCTATATATATATATATATATATATATATATATATATATATATATGTGTGTGTGTGTGTGTGTGTGTGTGTTTTATGTGTGTGGGTGTGTATATATGTATATATATATATATATGTGTGTGTGCTTATATTATACTTATGTATATGTATATACATACGTATATATGTGTATATGTATCATATATATGTATATATAGGTGTATATGTGTTTATGTATATATATATATGTATATTTATATATGTATAATACATATATATATATATATATATATATATATATATAAAGAAAGAACAGTAAGATATAAAATCCGGTGTTCTTATTGATATTTTTATTTTTTATTTTTACAAAATAGTGCTCAATGTAAATTTACAGAGCATTAATATTATAAATTAATCGATTTAAAATATGGTTTTTTTCGCTACACAGTTCCAACCATGTTTCAAAAATAGAAGCTCCCAATTTAATTTTGCAATTAAATTAAAAGCATTAGTTCCATTTCATCTTCAAGCGATTTTGGAGTAACTTTTAAAAATTACCGGGTTTTAAAGACACAGCTAAAATCACGTTTCCATTGTTACAGAATATTCTACTTAAACTGAACAAGGGATGTCTAGATTTTCCTTATGTCAGTATCATTGTATCAGTTATTAGCTACAATTTGGTAAGGGGTAGGGATGTATTTTACAATGAAACCTGACATCAGTTGAATGGATGTTGTCTGAATTTTTTTTTTTTTAATTGTTAACGGTAAAAAATTTCAACGTCATTTTTTAAATTTAAAGATTTTCGTTTTTTTTTTTTTTTCTAATACTTTTTATTTAACTACGATTTGAAATATTCTCCTTTTTAATTTTTATTTTACTATATTCTTTTTAAGAACAGTTAAATGTATTAGAATCCATTATATTATGTAGGATTATTTTAACATCAAGTTTAAGTATGTATATGAGGTTACATTTTTTTTTTTTTAAATTTATGACTATGACGGCAAAAATGGTTACTTAATTTCACTGATTTAGTAAACTTTTATTTTATATATAAACCTAGTATTATAATGTTTCTCATGTAAGTACTAAGGACATGGGTCATTCAAAAGCTTACATCTTATGGCATTTCATATTAATTTTATTTTACTATAGGTGTGTTTTTTTGTTTTTTTTTCTTTATTTGGATTCTTTTTAGTGCGTGTAGTATTATTTAAAAGAAATTTAGGTTAGAATTCATTCAATTTAACTACAATTTTAATTACAATTTCAGAATTACAACTTTAAAATTATATATATATATATATATATATGGATGGATATATATTTATATTAATATCTATATATATGCGTATATATACTTATATATATATATATGTATAGGTATATATATATATATGTGTGTGCGTGTGTGCATATATGTGTGTATATGTTCATCTGTATATATATGTTTGTGC